AGACACAAATGTATCACGTTTTGTGAAATGACCCACGTAAAATTAATTTCGTTCGATTTTAACAGAAATTATTATGGTGTTACTACATCCTCAAAAATATGAATAATTAGCTATCATAATAAATCCTACTATTTGATTAATTTTAAGCTATATTATATTAAGAAGTGTGTATTAAAGAACAAAAATAATTATAACAATAATATAGATTTCAATATGTTAAAAATTTGTTCAATGATGTTTATTGGTGTAAAACGTTTACAAATATTATGCCGCCAACGGCCTTAGTTATCGATTTTAAAATTAATACAAAACTAAAACCGTATAAAAGTTGAATTGTTTGAATCCATTTGTTTTAATCGTTACGGACGTTTTTAAAAACCAAACTATCGGTTAACGAATAGATAAATTGAAGCGCCAAGTGGTTTATAAGAGGAACCGGTGAGTTCTTACGTGTGTAACTTGACGTTAGCTGTTGTATCTGGTAATATACACGTTCTGACTAAAGCAATGCGGAAGAGGCACTTTAATAATTTACCTGGTTTCTCGGCTGTTTGTGCAAATGTGCTAAATAGCAGAAATCCAGAATTTGAGCCCTTGAATTTGCTATGATAGATTTTCGGTTAAATGAATGTCGGGGTATTTTACTGAGTCGTTCCAATCAATATCGTCGTTTCCAATTTAGATACGGTGGGAATTACTATACGTCTTCAGAGTAAAGAATTTTGTTAAGCTTTTGTTAGAATTTTAGTTGTTTTCATTTTCTAAACCATAAAGTAATTTTAATAAAGTTTGGCGTTTTTAAATAGATTTTATTAAAGAAAAAAAAAAAAAGGAAAATTACACTTAGACGTTGTAAATTTCTAGGTTGGTAATTAACATTTTTTTGTAAAATATTTACATTATACTGTTAAATACGATGTATGAATAACAATGACAACAAATTAGTATAGTATAAAGACAGACGACCAACCCTAATCGTATCCACACTAACACTACAAATATAATTACAAGGTAAATATTGACATTGCTTGTTTATCTAGGTACTGATACGCATCGAAGCGTTTATTTGAAAGTGATTTTATCACTTTTAGTTATAATAATTTCTGTAGAGCAGTGACCTCCACCTCTCGAATTTGCTTCTTCAGCATATTGTCTCCACCCCACTATACGGGCTTTTGTTTTTATTGCTGCCGTCGTTTTAGATTGTGCACTTGTTTTATAGGATTTTAACATGTTTTAGGTAAAAAAAAAAAAGTTAATATTTCCATTTCTATTACATTAAACAATCAAAATAATGTGAAGTTTTATACTTTTAGAGAAGTTCAGATGACAACCTTAAGAAATCAAATTAAAATACATATATTTTTTAGGTATCATATTTTGTAAACGATCATCGGTACTTTCCCTTCACAGGGCTATTGTTATTCGATGACCTATAATTCTGTCGGGTACACGCTATCACAACTCGCGACAAAACTCATAAAGTAGGATTTATTTGTTTTTCTTTCATTCACAATGACTTCTATGCTTGTTTAGTAGTCTATACATGTACGCCGTTAGGGTAATTGTTTAAATCGATACAACAATATTATTTTATTCATTCAAATACAATACACCAAATTGTATTTTTCTATATAACTATACTGTGAATAAAATCACATCGCACACACCGTGTAAAATGTCGCCGAGTTAAAATATAAACATTTAACTTAGAAAAGTTGTGATATTGATTTAGGAAATAATAATATCATACCATCTATTATTTTATTAAATAATTTAATTTATATAGAACCGAAATTATTTAAATTGCTTGGCTATTGCTTGGTAATGTGAATGAACACCTCCTCCTTTTACGCCACCGTGTTAAACAATCAATATATACTATTTACTCATTGTATATTTATTGTATTTTTTCTATTTTTAGTTAAAAAAAAGTATAAATCAATAATTCTATAATCACCAACATTAAAAATGTAATTTGTTACTATATTATTATCTAAAAGTTGAGAATTATTTTTATAGAATATAATATGGATAACGTCACTCAATTTAAGTATTAAATTTCACTAACACCGTATCATTTTTTTTTATTTGCGATATTTAACACAAAATTTGCGATGTATTTTTGTTTCTTATTTTTATTTTAACGAAACACTTTTTTGTTTCTTTTATAATTTCTTTTTATACGTTTATTTTTTTCACCCTTAGTAGAATTTAATTTTTGTTTCGAACAATCCATATACTTTAAAGTTTAATATGTGTATTAAATTAAATATTTTAATAGTATCTATTAGAATATTAATGTATCTCGATTCAAGTCATAGTCATTATGATATCTTCGTCATCGGAGAAACTCCTACAATAAGGTATCCTTTAACAGCTGTAAATAAATAAATGCAATTATGTAAACCTCTGTACTACATTCATACAGTGAAGTACATAATAAAGTAGTGTACTAGTACAGTGAGTACAGTACATAATTCAATTTTTAAATAAAAATACTGGTAAAATTGTTGACAATTATAAAGTCGACTAAAAATTTAATGTAGTTAACCTTAATAAAGTATTTCTTACTCGACTAAACCAGCATTAAACCTTTTTGCGATAGAGCAAAGTTACATTACAGTTAACTACCTTACAAAAGTTTACACTAATTAGAAAGAATTAAAGAACTAAATTACGTAAAAAAGCAAAATGATTAAATCGTTATTGTCTCTCGTTGGATGTAATCTGAAATTATTTCTCGTTTTTAATGTTTCTTATCTTAAAAAACTCATTTTTTTAATTATCACGGAGCACCGAATTCCGTTATATTCCCCGGTTATCGATCAAACACGGTTAATTATTAGAATCGACCCGACCGCAGAGGGACCCAGCGAAATCAGAACGTTTCAAAAGCCGACCACTTTGAGTATGGCCGTTACCGCAAAAAAAAATATAATTCATATTAGCTGATGAATTGCCTAATAAGAAGTTTACTTTATATCTGAGAATTTAACTAATGATTACGCAGACAGCACAAAAATTCAAAAGTCTTCAATATACTATTAAAGTGTTTTTGAAAAATAGTAATATTTAATATTTTAAAGGCATTTGAACTTTTGTGCTGTCTTGTCGTCTGGGCATTAGTACTTGAATTATTTTAATCAAATGTATATTACCATAGCACACTGTGTTAATTTGTATGGTTTGAAAAAGTTGTCTGAAATTTTTAATCGTTAGTTTCCATCATATTGATATATTTTTAGGATATTATTTTTTAAAAATGTCTTAAACTGTTAAACAAAAATCGTGTACACAAGTTTATTTTGTCTGAAAATGAATTCCTATATGTTTCATTCAAATCTGCAATCCACTGATGTGACATTTTCTTATTAGACAATACACCGATTAATTTCAGTTATAATTTTTTTTGGCCGTAAAGAAATTACTATGTTAATGAATGGGTCATCTGTTTTGTTTGTTTAATGTGTACATTACCCACCGGGGGAGAGCAACCACGGGTTTTATCGGCACGGCTTGTGTAAACAACCCCCACGGTGCAACGTGCAGTTCATGAAATTCTGCATACTTTGTGTTATGGAATTTAATTGTTGACAATGGTTGGGGCTAGCTGTTATTATTTTCAAAGTAATGTTCTATTTTAAATCTTAAAAACACTGTTTTATTTTCATCTCACTGGACATAAGGAGCTTATCATTTTCTCTAGCAAGTTTTCGATGTCGGATCTCGCCGTTGATAAAAAAAAAACAGATTGAAATTATTGACATCAATACATATAACAATTAACCATATACCATTCAACAAGCTGCGGTTACATTGTTTGTGGTAACTCTAGCACCATACAAAATGAGGTCTTTGATAAAAGCTGAGTGTAAAGTAAGACCCGTTTTTAAGCTACAGTCCACAAACACTCTACATAACATACAGAAACGTTTCAAAACGCGTGAAAGGTTTTTAGAGGCAATTCGTACAAAAACTTTTTTTCAAGAATTGGAATGCCGAATATGTTACTACTTAAAAGGTCGATGAACTCTGATACTGCAACTCAGCCGCGATTGATGGATTAGAGAATTTTTTTTAGACAATACCGTTTATGAAAAGGGACAAAAGAATGATCGGTCATTCGGTCAGGAGTGTCATCGACCTAGTAAAAATGTAACGTAATGGAAATGTAATTAAATATGAAATACGTCATACGAATGTATCAGCATGCTTAGTAATATTTATCACCAAACCACGCCCTCTGGATCCATTATTCATAGTCTACTATATTGCATAGTGTGATAATGTGATAAACTTAAGGTCGTAATACTCAAATTAAAAAAAAAAAAAATTTAGAATCATAGTTTTATTGATATTACGTTTACGTTATTTGAAGGTCCAATACTATCAAGTCTGATAAATTATTACGATTAAGTGTAAACCCAATTAATTAGTAAATTATTTAAATTTTATTTTTGGAGTTAACATATATTATAATTTGGTACATAATGCGTTACCAAACGAAAATCCAATTTTTAAAATGGTTACACAATGAATTGCTTGTAATTTTCGTTAATAATTTGAATTTTAGTAACTAAAAAATCAATTAACACCCTGCAGTACTTTGGCGTTTTCGTCTTCCGGTCAGCGGACGCAATATTGGAAAACATCAAAATCAGTTTTGTGCTGTCACGCGAAAATTAATAGGATTTTTGACGTTGGTCGTTCCTCGCAGGTATCTCAGATCACCCGTCCAGGACTAACCAGTTATACCTAAATGCTACCCCGGTGATATCGGCCAACACGTCAAATTACGTGGGGGGGGGCGACTTTTATAGTTCTGCCGAAGCCGTTGGAGCCCCTTGGAGGCTTGATTACGACGGGTCAGAGAGGGCGCGGTCCCAGGGTTTAGGTGGCGGCTATCGGCTATCGATTGTTCAGCACGACGGCGGCGTGACTGTGTAGTTCCGGAGCAACTCGACGGCGACGCTCGGCTCCACCGTTGGAACACACGAGCCGACGCCGACCGACGCCCGTCGACCCTTGTGCAGTGGGGTGAAGTTTATTAGACGAGCCGGACGAGCGACACGCGGCTACTAAATTTGGAGGGTCTTGCAAACCAATTGTACACGGTAAATAATTGTTTTTGATTTTTCGTTATCTACAGTCAAAATTCGATAAAATTTGTTTGTATTATTATTTTTATTTTTCATCGGAGTAAATTTAATTTTTTTCTGTTTTACAGTTTCGATTTCACTAACACGACGTTCGTTTAATAATTAATACATAGACGTAGTCGTATAGACGTTATAGATTATCATACGTCCACACGCCACATACGTGACATAGAAAAATAAACGCGAGTACAAAACGAATAAATCCTTTTCGAACGGCTGATGGGAAACGTCGGGATCGTCACTCGAGAACAACTATTTCACTCAGCAGCTCGACGCGGTCTCTTTTGCTAAAGCCATCGGTGTCGGGTGAGTAAAACATTCACTATTATTACTCATAAAAATTTCTAGACGATCACTAAGTAGATTATAGTATCGTATTAGGAAAGAAAAAATATCTTCTGTCTGACTTATAAAGCTTATTGTCTGGCTGATGTTCTGCCCCTAAGCTTCGAGACCCGCTAAAAATCTCCCATTAGGATATATGCTATAAAATGAATGGGCCGATGGCCAATTCAAACGGTCCCTATTTTTATTACATAAAATAATAACATACTGGATTAGAGTTTAAGTACTATTATCATTTATTGTGTTAGCCAAGCTCAAGTTCATTGACAGCCGCCAATTCTGAGCCAGGGAGGTTATGAAAGACACTATATAAAAAATAGCAGTGACAAAAATATCAAACTCGCGATAAACCATATAAATTGATTGAACGTTACATAAAATAACCTTGCCAGCCTAAATAAAAAGTCAAATACATTCAATGGGGAACGGACGTATGTTAGAATACAAATAGTCTCGATCTGAAGCAGTATTTACGGTTTAACGCCTATAATAAATCGACGCATGGAAACGTTCCGGTCAAAATAATTGCCATTTCGAATGTTCAATGACCTTTTCGCTTTATGCTCACCACTTTCTTCGCCTCAAAAGAAATCTCTCGTCAAGTTATTTGTATTAAGGGCTCGACTAAACATTAAAAGCCCCAAAAGCAGAGAACTGCTGTCTTCACTTTAGACTTTTTCGGCGGTAAAGATGACTTTATACACACACGTCGACTATAATAATAGTTTTAGTTATTATTAGGTAAGGAAAACAGATTTTCCTAAAGATACACAACTATCGCATGACAAGCCTAGGTTTTTTTACATATAGAAGAAAAGTTTACATGACATGTTTCAGATGTAACACATTCACAATTTACCAATTATTTAAAACAGTTAAAAAAAAACAAAATTCAAATGCACCTTGATGTCTTACTGTCGATGAAAATAATGGTTTTTGCCGCATTCCTACTTGAACGTATGAACACATAATAGTTTAAGCAAACGACAAACCCCTAGGGCGATTGTATAAATTCAGTAAAATGTACTTCGCCGTGTTATTTAATATTAATTATTTTGCTCTTTGTTTTTGGGTGTACCTATAAGTGTCTACCGTTAATTAACTAGAAACGATATAGTACTTTGAGCCCACCTCGGTTTCAACTTGCGGGTACCTCTTCCCTTATCGCTTGCCCGCTTTTGCCGCGGTCACCGTCAGGAAGAACCGTGGGTAATATATTAAGTTGCGTTAAGTTCAACAAAACCGGAGCCGTGGGGAGACCAACTTTTTGCTGACGATTTAATTTTACATTTCGAAGAACGCGGACAACCGTGATAACAATCAAAACAATAAACTTTGCCCCAGACATGATACATATAGATATTAAACTGGTAAACGTTGACTGGAAAACCAAGTGTTGCCGCTGTATATTAATAATTGTCATATCTGTGATGTTTATAGATGTTATCCATCTATATGTTCTACTATAATAAAATAATATGTATATAATAATACTGCCACTAAATTACTAATAAGCAACTGCTGTTGTATTGCCTATATCGTCTGTAGTATCACAATATTAAATAAAAATCAAACGTTGTGCATTTAAATAAATATGCATATAATAATAATGTTACAAAGAAAAATTTTAAAATAAATTATGTTATATACTATTTTGTCTGTCATGAAAACACACTTAATTTTTTAGCTTGGTTGAATAATTTTTTAAACTTTTGGCCTTAAAGCGTTTTTTATTAATAAAATTAAACAATGATTTGACTATAGACTGTACCTCTTTATGAAGAAATCGGTCCAGTGACTAAGAAATCATCTAAAATTAAAAAAAAAAGATAAAATAAGAACCGCAGTTGCAACTGTTGGTGCCTTATACTTAGCATACAGTTGAGGGACGTTACCGTTACACACGACTGTAAGTATGTCACGTAAGATCAATGTCGTCAAATAAGTTAGAATTTGTTCGCTCTATTGTGTTGTATACGTTTCTCAAACTGACTGACATACGTTAGAACGTTGAGTTATTTTCCACTTAGCCCACAAACAGTGTGCAAGAGTTTGAAAAACTTTTACAAAACGAGCCGTCCAATCATATATTATCCAATTTCTTTACAAACAACCGGCTATAGAACAACTTAACATAAATGTGAAAAAAAGGCTGTGGTTAGAGCGCTAACTCTATTATTGTGTAAAGACATATTTGTTCGACTTTGTAACTTGTTATAAAAATAGTACCTATTTTTACGTTTTCAATAACTAACAATTAAAATCATATAACATTTTATATTGCCTCTTAATTATTAAGGACTTTAACATATTGCATGTAAGAGAGAATAGTGGTGTAATTTGACAGTTGACAGTACGCTACTTTTCTCGTTATTATAAAACAAAACTTTATAACTCATTATACAACTGAAGAGCTTCCTAGTCCCCCGAGAAATTACTAAGTTCAAAAATCAAGGAAAAATCTTTTTATTTTATTTTCATGGACCTGCAACTTTAACGCAACACCGTTGGCGCGGAAAAGCATTTGTATCCGAACATTGTTTAGATTAGTCTGGACTTACTCTCCATGGTAAAATAGCTAGATTAGCAGTAAAAAGATTTTTACACCAACGTTTGTGGATAATTTTAATTTTAATAAGTTAATAATAAATAAATAATAAAAGAAATTTTAAGTATACAAAAATGGATTCTGCAATAAGACCGAAATGTCAGTGTGTGAAACCGAGTGTGGTAAATTAAACATATTAAGTATAAAGAAGATTAAAGAAAAACCTTTTATTCAAAACATTTTAAGTCGTCGAACATCATCCACTTTCAAATTTCAATTGCATTTATGTTTTCGGACGGACAATAGAAAACGTCAATCAATGAATTTCCGTTGCAGAGCCCGACAACCCTGGTTTTCCCAGTCAAGCAATGGGATTAGTCTTTTTCATATTATCACGGTGTGGTGTTTCTAATCTTCAACCGTTCATAATAAATATTAAAAAAAAATCATAATAGATTATCCACATACATTATATTTATTGCAAATCGATATTTATGACTACTGTTAGAAAACTTAATAACAGCTGAAACGAATAAACTATTTTATTTAAAATTGGATAATTAAATGGTCATAATATACTAACTACATTATAATAGAAATAATATAAAGTTACAAGTAAAAATTAATTAAATCTTTAGTAAACATAAGTGACGGCCTACTTTTATAATTGACTTACTAAATTAACTAATAATGTTAACTTAGTCTTAAAAAAATACTTACTGTTTTATCATTAAATGTTTTTTTTTAATGGATTAGTCAATCATTATAAAAACTTTAACACAACGGCGTTAAATTATAATATAAGTTTAATTAAAAAGATTGGAAAGTTTCTAATGGAAACGGTCTGGTTTCTTTAATAGTTTTTGCTTCAACGTGCAAATCAGTATAATAATGCAATAACAAATCACTATCGAATTTTTTATTTTAAGACTGACTACATTTAATCATAAAAATTATTATAATATTTTAACAAAGTATTACACTTGATCAAAAATACAAATCTTGAAAATGCCAGCACAGTGGGGTTATGTATGACTAAGTTATATTATAATCTATACTTTATAATAGGGCATAATGAGTTCGGAGAGGTCACAGGACTGTAATAATTATCATAACTGAGAGAGATGAAATCACTCAAATCTTAAATAAAACTCTTCAGTGCGAATCTGTACATGGTGCAAATATTAAATAACGGTAAAAGCATTGTTAAGGTAATATAATGTTCTTTAAAAAATTGTATGTTTAGTGTGTGTCAGGGTGGATGCGATTAGAGTAGATTTACTGTTTATAATATTTTATTGCCGTTTTTACTCATATATCGTAATCAACGAAATAATGAAAATAGTTTTCTAATACCCGTTGACTGTTAATTCATTCACACATAACAATTTGGAAATTCAATATGACTAAATCGTAATTTTCTTCTTTTTTTGTGTTTCCTTAATAGGAAAAAAGGTTTGACTGCATATTTTCGACACAATTTTGTGTGTTATAGTAGGAACATTCTTGATATACTCTCTATCTAATTTTCAGACCTTTTTTTCAGTACCAAAACTACGCTATCCAACACTGCAACGTATGTTATATATAATATATATGTATGTTACTGTTTAAGTTTTAAAAGTTGATTAAGCTCTAGTAAATAAGTAGGGCGTTAAAAGAACCACTGTATATCACCGGTATACCTCAAGACAGTGATATTTATTTTCTCCATGAATTTCGATTACTACTGAAAGTTATTCAACTCAACTGTAATAGACATACGACACCCAAAAGAAACACTAAGTGGATGAAGTAAACACGCGATGAAAAGGGTACACTAATCCTAATGTAATTCATCTCGTTATAAAATGACAAATCACTCATTTTTAAGGTCAACCTGAAGACTGATGGTTTGCGGTCGGAAAGTGTTCACATAAAGTCAATACAATTTTGAAGTGGTTAAAATATTTTTTTCACATACATTTCTCTAATAATATATCTTAAGAGGATGTCAGCGCAGCGATTTACCGGCACTAAAACATGTTTCTTTTAATTGAAAATTAGTGGCTCTTAATTGATACTAATGCAACAATACCTATTAGATTATTTAAAGAAAACAACATTTTAAAGGGCATCTCGAAGCCATTTTTTCGAAAAACTAATTTTTTTAGAAGTTAAATTAACAAAAAATGTCTTTTTTTTTATAAATGAATGAATGTCCTATTTGAAATATCAAAAAAAGGGCTTCGAGGTGCGCTCAAAAATGTTTTCTTTAATTTTGATATTATGGTTTTTGATCAAAAATCACTCAGTAAGCCGTATTTTTGGATGTAAAAAACTAAGATTTTATGGACATTTTTTTTTAAATCGCTGTCGCGGATTCTGTGATAGTCCGAAAAATAATTTGATTACCAAAAAAGAGTCTTAGTTA